GTGGACCTGGGCGTGGACCTGGACGAGCTGCGCTCACTCGCCTGCGACGTGCTCCTGCAGGAGAGCTTCTACCAGAACAAGAAGCGGCCGTTCCTCTACCGCGAGCAGGACCACACGCCCGGGCCCTTCCTCACGCAGCTCGTCTCCTTGCTTGCTGCCTCTCTCTGCCGCCACAACCCGCTGCTGGCTGCCTCCTCCCTCGGTGCGGAGCAGGGTTGGGACAGGGGGGGGGCCCTGGGTGGGCGGGCTGAGCTGTGAACCCTGTAGCAGTGTCACTGGCCAAGCTGGGGGGGTACCAAACATCGCTAGTGCTTTCCTTCACTGTCACTTTGTAAAACTCATGGGATGCAGAAATGCTTCGATTGTTCAGTTTTACTGCATAAACAAAGCAGCAACTGGGACAGTTTTATACACAAATGGATGACCACTCCTCCCCTTTTCTGTTTCAGACTTGAATCCTGAGGTTAATTATTACTGGCATCGTGGTGAGGAAGTTGTTGTTCATGGACACCGAAAAGGTACAGTTGATCCTGTGCGGTTTCAGATCGATGATCACCCACGCCTCCAGATCCGTGTACCAAAACAGCTTCCAGAGGTGTGGATATTTTCATTAGCAAGTTAATCAATTTTTTTTTTTTCCTTCCACAACAGGAATATTTCTGACCAAGTCTGAACCCTTGACTAATGCTTGTCACAAGATAAGACCTGGTTATTGATTTCTTTTTTTGGTTAAAACTAAGATTGTATATTTGATTATTATATATACTATATTATGTCTTTTGTCAAGAAATATGTGATTTACAGTTTTGCCTGTCTTTTCCATTTTCTTCAAGATTGTACCTCTAGAGACAGATCTTGGAAGTGTCCCTGTTATTGATCACAAACCATCTAAGCTACCATTATTCAAAAAACAATATGAAAACAAGGTATTTATAGGTAAGAGCTATAAACCTTTAAAATTAATACAAAGCCCTAACCTTGTTCTTTCCATTAACAATGAAAGTACGTATATGTGTGTTTGAACATATTCAAGATATTTCAATGCAGAATTTCTTCTTTAATGCTTTTTGGTTGTTGTTTTGCTTTGGCAAAGTTATGAGGCTTTTCAAACTTTAACCTTCCTTTAAATCTTGCTTCTCTAATATTTACTGTGCAGGATGTGCTCTGAGTATATTAATGATTTTCTTGAGAGAGTTTTGAGTGGGATGACTTTAACTATTGAGAAACCTTAGGTTTATGGTAGTAAGTAACAACAGAAGCAAGTGATTTGAATTGTGTCTCTCTGCAGCTTCCAAATATGGAAGCAATTATGAGGAATATCCGAGGTCTACTTTTCAATAGAATATTTGAAGTTTTGAACTTCCATCTTGGATAGTTCTTCCCATGCATATAATATACTTTGTCATAGGATTCATTTGAAGGACTTGGGTTAGATACAAAACTAACAGAAAACTGTCTTTGAATTTTGATAAAAGTTCTTCAGAAGTCATTGCAGTATCTTAACTCTTAAGAGCATTTTGAGCTTGAGCAAGCTTTCCAGTCTCACCCAGGAATGAAAAGACTTTAGCATTTTGAATCTATATTGTAGCTCTGTATACTTTTTTTGTAGAATGGACTCTAAGAGTAAAGATCTGTTTGTGTGTATAATGCAGAGTGTTTACTGAGTTATTTTTTTCTCTCTTTGGGATGGGGGTACAGGGTCAAAGGTGGCAGATCCATGCTGTTATGGACACACGCAGTTTCATCTTTTTCCTGATAAACTAAAAAGGCAAAGGTTCTTAAATGTAAATCTTGAAGATCAGATTGAAGTAACTTACCGAGCTAATGGTATCGCAAGTCTCTTTGCTTGGACAGCAGCACAAGCAATGTATCAAGGTGAGACAGGCAATTTATAAAATTCTTTTTGGTGATGAATGCCAGCTATCATGTTCTATAGCCTTTCTTCCATCTTTTAATGCCTCTGCCTCTTCTGAAGACCGGGCATTAAGTAGGGTTACTGCAATGATTTTTATTTCAGTATGCTTTTCTATCGGAAATGCAGAACATAGTAAGCTTTCTGTTGCTTGCCTCTCTTTTTCTCAGTCTAAAATACAGAAATGTCTTCTGAGTCATAAACTACTACTCTAACAAGAAGAAACTTCTCTTATTTATCCTTGTGTGCTTTCTAAATATATCCATTTATATTCTGTTAAAAACTCTGTGTATAGGAAGTAGATCAATAATGCTTTCTTATTTTCTGTTTTTTTTGTTGTTTTTTTTTTTGTTGTTGTTGTTGTTGCTTGTTTTTTTTTTTTGCCCCACTTGTTGCTTCTGCTTTATGCAGAATCCCTACTTGGAAGTTACAAAACCTGTGAAATAGCATATACATGATGGACAGTGTTCCTTGCTACATTGTGTATTCTGTTGTACAAAGGGAGTAAATGATTAATGGGAAAGCAAAGTTGGAAACCAAGTTTGAAAGCTTAGTGCCAAGATGTTCATTGTAAGAAAAATCACTGTGTGGTCTTGGAAGTATCTGTTATAAGCAGTAATTACAATTAGTAGTACATAGGCTTTGAACTTGACTTTGAACTTAGAGGTTTTTTGAACTTAAGAGGTCATTTTGGACATTACAGAATGCCAGGCAGGTTTTTGCCTACCTACAGAATGCCAGGAATTAAGGTTCCTATAGATACTGTATTATCTATTAGTATACTTAAAATGTATTAGTCTAAAATATCTTCTGAGATATTCTAAGTTCTTATCTACTCAAATATTCTAAACAACATGTCAGTGTTGAATTTAGAGCTGGTTTTACTGCTTCCCATTGCATTATACAGGTATTTACCAATACCTGTGTAGATGCCACCATGAGCACTTCTTGCTTGGTTCTACGGATACTGCAGGAAAGCTCTTCTGCTGGGAATGGGTGATGCTCAGTGCATTTGGAATGATCTGCACATAGTGCAGCAAGACCTCAGCTTTAGGCAAGATGATGTAGAGGAGAACTAAATGCATGTAATTGTAACAGATAGCAAATGATCTTGGAATCTGGTTTGCTGAAATGTTTTATCAGTTTTAAAATAATTTATTGGAGAAAATTCTTTGACTAGTGTATGTATATTACTGGCTCTTCATCAAACTATGTTTCCAATGGCAGTTGTGTTAAAGATTGACTTTTTTTGTGGACATGAAATATTGAAGCTAATTAGGTCTCTGCATCAAAGTTGCTTACGGTTCTAAGGACAGTGATGAGAACAACATGATTCAATCTCTAAACCTTTTTCTGTTCTGTATCACTATCTAGTGTGATCTTTCTAATATACATACATAAATATGTAAAGAAAAATGTGTTGGAAGACTTTAATGCTCAACAGGGATTATTTAAAGTGTGAATTCCTACTGGCATAACATTCTTGGTTTTGCTTGGCAAATTACGTTAACCAGTTATGCACATAGAAATACAAACTCATATAATGAAACAAATACTCAGTGTCCTCTAAAAGAGTGGGATAGCCAGAAGACTTTTGCCCTCTTTTAGAACTTAATGCATTCATAACCTAAATATGTAATTTTTAAAGACTCCTGGAAGATCAAATTGGTTTTATATCACCTAGTCACCTTGTTTTAAGAGTGTGATTGCTGCCTGGCTCCATTTCTTGTAAAAGATCCCTTATGGGTGCTTGTCTTTGATATCACCTTTGTTAGCCAGTGTGAGGAATGCTGGTGTTCCTCCAGCAGGATTTTTTTTTTTCCTCCTACTAAAAGGTTGCTCTGGTTCCTACTGTGTTTCTTTATTTTAGGATCTGGGTTTAGATGTGAGTGCTGGTAGGAATTCTGAGAGCTAAATAACTAATGTTGCTTTTTATTTTGTAGGATTTTGGAATGAAGCAGATGTGACTCGTCCTTTTGTGTCACAGGCAGTAGTGACTGATGGAAAATACTTTGCTTTCTTTTGCTACCAGTTAAATACTTTAGCATTAACTGTGGAAACTAGTAGAAATAACCCTCGGAAGAATATCTGCTGGGGTACAGAGAGCAAGCCGTTATATGATGTTGTGGAAGATGGTGATGTGAAAGGCTTTAATGATGAAATTTTGCTTCAGTTGGTTCAGTTTCTGCTAAACAGACCAAAAGAGTTATAAATCATAAAGCAATATGATTTTCATGTTAATGTGCCTGAACTTCATTGTAATTTCATGAAGTATGTCTTAGTATGCGCCTTGTCAAATATTTATCTGATGAACTATGTTCGTATTTTATGATCTTCAGGCCTTATTTCTTGTCATTAAATATATCATATTGTACATTGAAAAATAAATATCTGGAATACCTTTGTCTCCTGTGCAGTTATTAGAATTGTATTGCGTTAACTGAAAATTTTGTAATCTTCAAACAAGAGTGTGAAAATGCTGAGGGCTGTGGACTCAGATTTTTGTGAATGTCTCCTTTCAGTAGAACCATAGCTGTGTGTTGAGCTGTTCCAGTAAAATATGAACTTATATGATTGTCTGATCACTTTGTTAGTGGGCCAATGTCTTGGCATGCAAGACAAATGAACAATTTCTGTTTGTGCCTGCAAACTAAGCTGGCATAAAACTGACTCACTTTGAAATGAAAGTGAATTCAGAATAAAACAAAACAAAAACAAACAAAATTTTTCTCATTAATGGTTGAACATTTAATGAAGAAAGTATTTATCCTTTTATTGAACAGTAATATGAAACAGTGATGCTCACTTCCCAAGTTTGTTGTGAGCACATATGCAAGTTTTAGTACTGTTACGTCCATGAACCATGGAACTGCCTCAAATATGGTTGGAGTCTCTGTGAAAAACTTGTTCTTATGCTTTTTTTTTATTATTATTATTGCACTATTCTTTTGAAGAAATGTGATGTGAACTTGCTGCTTCTAGTATGTGAATGCTGATGTACATTTTTAGATGCTTATGTATAAAAGTAACTGCTACTCTTTACAAGAGATTGGGCTTGTAGTTTCCATCTCCAGATGTCTGTCCTGACAGAGACAGGCCAGCCTAAATACACAATGTTTTAGTTTTCACTTGATAACTTGATATGTATTTTTATTTTTGCACTGCAGACATCATAGGAATATTTGGCTTTCTGGTGTTTGGATATTTTATGGCTATAAATGTAGAGAGTAGTTGATCTCAAACTGTGACTGGGATCTCCGTTATATTGATAAGATAAAGTGCAATGATTGTTTAGGAATGCTTGATTCTCGGTAAATGTTATCTGATCTAGAAGTAGTTAAAGGTATTTTGTAGTCCCATGTGCTGCATACATATCTTTTGGAAACTTCTTTAGTCCAGTTTTGATAAAATTAAATCTGCGGCTGTTTATAAAGTAGTTGCTGGTTAATACTTAAACCTGAGCAGCTAAAAGCTAGCCTAAACCTGTGGGGATGGGCAAGGAGCTGTCCGGTAAACTTAAAGAGAAAAAGAGCATGTATGTAATGTGGAAGAAGGGCCAGGCCCCATTGGAAGAATATAGGAACATTGTCAGAGAATGCAGGGATGTACCGAGGAAGGCCAAGGCCCGTTTGGAATTAGAGTTACGAGAGATACCAGGAACAACAGGAAGGGCTTCTATAAATACATCAGCAGCAAGAGGAAGACTAGGGAAAATGTTAGTCTGCTGCTGCATGGGGAGGTTGCTTGAGTGACAATGCAGAGAAGGCAGAGTTACTAAATGCCTTCTTTGCTTCTGTCTTTACTGCCAAGGATAGTCCCTGTGAACTATAGAGCCCGGAGACAGAGAACCAGGAGAGAGAAGGACTTTCTGCTGGTTGAGGAGGATTGGGTTAGGGATTTTTTAGGCAAACTGGATGCCCATAAATCCATGGGCCTAGATGGGATGCACCCAGGAGTGCTGAGGGAACTGGCAGGCGTTATTGCTCAGCAGCTCTCCATCATCTTTGAGCAGTTATGGAGAGCGGGAGTGGTATGGGAGGACTGGAAGAAACCAGCGTCACTCCAGTCTTCAAAAAAGGCATGAGGGAGGAGCCAGAAAACTATAGACTGGTTAACCTCACCTCCATCCCTGGAAAGATGATGGAGCAGCTCGTCCTAGAGACCATCTCTAGGTATGTCAAGGAAAAGAGGGTGATCAGGAGTAGTCAGCATGGATTCACAAAGGGAAAATTTTGATTGATGAACCTGTTAGCCTTCTAAGATGAAGTGACCAAGTGGATGGACGATGAGAGAGCCGTGAATGTTGTCTACCTTGATTTCAGCCAGGGTTTTGACACAGTCTCCTATAACATCCTCCTAGGAAAGCTCTGGAAGTGTGGACTGGACAAGTGGACAGTAAGGTGCATTGAGGACTCGCTGGATGGCAGAGACCAGAGGGTGGTGATAAATGGGGCCAAGTCTGGTTGGAGGGCTGTGGCCAGTGGTGTCCCGCAGGGGTCAGTACTGGGCCCAGTGCTCTTGTTCGTCAGTGACTTGGACGAGGGCACAGAGTGCACCCTCACTCAGCAAGTTTGCAGATGACACCAAACTGGGAGGAGTGGCCGACACTCCTGAGGGCTGTGCTGCCATTCAGAGAGACCTAGACAGGATGGAGAGTTGGGCAGAGAGGAACCTCATGAGGCTCAACAAGGACAAGTGCAGGGTCCTGCACCTTGGGGGGAATAACCCCAGGCACCAGGACAGATTAGAGGTTGACCTGCTGGAAAGCAGCTCCGCGGAGAGGGATGTGGGAGTCTTGGTTGATAAAAGGTTAACCATGAGCCAGTAGTGTGCCCAAGAAGGCCAAGGAGTGTTGCCAGCAGGTCAAGGGAGGGGATCCTGCCTCTCTGCTCAGTTGGAGGCCTGTAGCTAGTGGTGTCCCCTAAGGGTCAGTCCTCACTCCAGTCCTGTTCAATTTATTCATCAATGACCTGGATGAAGGCACAGAGTGCTCCCTCAGCAAGTTTGCTGGTGATACCAAACTGGGAGGAGCAGCTGATACCCCAGAGGGCTGCGCTGCCATCCAGAGGGACCTGGACAGGCTGGATAACTGGGCAGAGAGAAATCTTACAAAATTCAACAAGGCCAAGTGCAAGGTCCTGCACTTAGGGAGGAATAACCCTGGATACCAGTCCAGGCTGGGGGCTGACCTTCTGGAGGGCAGCTGGAGTCATCTCTTAATAGGGGTACCAAATGCTATGTTAGCTATATGCCCAACTCTGGCAGTATTAAATTCACCATCAGTCTGCTGAACATAGGTCCTATCGCCTTCAAAACAGGTGCTTAGGTTCATGAATAGCACAATTTATTCAAATGCAACATTTGGAAAACAAGTTTCGGATGTCAGTATAGGAAATTCTCTACTGCAGTGTGCGGTTCTTGGCTAGGGCCTAGTGTACAAATCCACAATCTTCACTCAGCCAGAACATGGGAGAGGGCTCTCAGTCTTGAGGAGTCTCCCCGGGTGGTGCCCTGACCCGAGGGGAGGAAAGGGGTTCAGCCTGTCGACTGGTCCGGAAGTTACGATGGAGTCTTCCCTCTCTCCTCTTCCTTAGTTCTTCCTCCTCTGCTCTTACTGTCCCATTCTTCTTTCCTAGTTCTTACCACCACAGTCTTCCTTCCTACCATTTCCCTCCTTATTTTCTTTTACATTTAGGTGGAGCTTGAGTGACTCTAGTCATACTTGCTTCCGTTATTCATTGGTTTAAAAACTCTCCCGAGTTAATCGAAAATCTGGAGAGCATGCTCAGTGGTTGTTCCTTGTAAGCAGGTAACTTCTGGGATGGGGTTGTGTGTCGGTATTATAATGAGATTAGAAGGAGGAGAAGTTTGAGCAAAGTCTATCGGAAGGGACTGATTTGCCACCATTGCTGACCCAGCAGCAGACATCACACTATGTGGCTTAACAGCTGCACGGTAGCACCAGGTTGCCACCTCTGCAGGGAGTGCAACAGAGTTTGGCCATGGTGTCCTCACTTCAATCCATCCTCCATTCACTTGTTGTCTGCACGGCACCCTCAGATTATCCCCTCCATGGGGAAGCCAACAAAGTTTGGCTGTGGGGTCTTTGTTCAGCTCCACTCTTCGTTTACTCTTATTAGTGTGTGCTAGGAGGGCAGATTGTGTTGCCCAGGGAATCGTGGAGAAGCAGATTCCTCATATACCAACCATCCTGGAGGTGGTAACTGCCCATCCTCATGCAAGCCTCTGTAATGCCCTAACTTCTGTTAGGCTCTGTTTTTCTCTACGTTCCCCTTTCTCGGGCAATTCTTTTACAGTGGGCACACTGATTATAAAGAATGACCTAGCTGAAAAGTGAATGATTTGTAGTACTTGTTTGTACCATATGGGTAATTACCTTTAGCTTGTCTTCAGAAACCTCATACTGCTTCAGAGACGAAAGCCCCTCTCCTGGTGTGCATGTAAACCTAAATGTTATGTAATTCAGCCTGTTTATGCTGAGGTTTTGTTTTCAATTCTCTTCCTTCATGCAATTTTATTCATGACCAAAATATTGTAGATACATAACCTGTTAGAAAAACTCAATGTTGGAGTGAGGGAGGAAGGGAAACTGTGCAAGGTGGCTAAAGGTGGCCTTGTGATTGCAAAATGCTCAATTCTGACTTTTGGAGTTAAGATCTCAAAAGGAGAGAGAGATACCTTGGAAAAGCAGTGGGTGGCAGTGTTTGATCTCTACTGAGTGGAAAAAAAAATGTGGATTTTGTTCTGCAGCTTTGTCAGTTTTCTACATGCAGTTTTCTACAGCAAACTTTAAAGTTGGAGTCATCTGAGGTTGTTTAAAACTGTAATACAATGTTAAAGCTAATATTTTTTCTTAAAGATTTATGTGTTTTATGTTCTTAAAGATTTTTTTTCTTGAAGATTGTTAAATGCTAAAAGAAAAGTTAATGCTGCAGCATACCAATTATTGAGTTTTATTCAGCAGAAACTTCCCTTGATTTTGCTGCTTTCAATCTCATGGAAATAGTGTTCTTTTGCATTCTGCTTTGAATTTGCTGTCTAACAAAAAAGGTATTTCAAAAGACAGAAGTGTCATATTTGGATCTTGATTCCTTTATTAATTTCAGCTCAGACTTTTTGGAACAGATCATGATGGAATGTAAGGAGGAACTTAATAAGATTTGCCCTTATATAAGGCAGGTGTTTTCTCTAGTGACTTACTTGGCTTAAACTTACCACTGGCAAGTAAGTGACTGATCTGGGAAATGTCTGCATCAGTGCTAG